CCTTATACATCTTGTTAATTATTAGCGGGTTGTTCCAATCAATTATGCTGAAAACAACAAGATAAAAATATTAATGAACAAGTAGGAGAAAATTGGATTTCAAAAGTAACTTTCTGAAAGACGTCCGGCGCTGCCCACGTGTCCGGACGCCCGTTCCACCGTGGCGCCGCTAGGATACCTCTGCTTGCTCTTCAGCTCCAGGTCGGCGGCCGTGGCGACGCTGTGCCGGGTGTCGCTGGATGCCACGACCAGGTGGACCACGGTCTCCACCTCAGGCACCTGCTGCGCCTCGATGAACTTCACCACTCCCAGCTTGCACTGCAGAAACACGCAGGAATCAACGGCTATTCCAGGCGTGACTCCAGACCCCCCCTAACTGGATAACGAGGGGGGACTCAGAGGGCCGTATGAGTGACGACTGAGGCCTGACCTGCTCCAGCTGCTCTGGGCTCCACTGTATTTCTCCAATGACACGCTTGGCGGCATAGACGCTCATGCCGGGGGGCGCCTGGGGAAGGCCTTGGCCGGCACTCGCCCCCGCTGTGGCCGTGCCGGCCTGGGGTGAAGCTGGGGCAGGGCGGCCAGTGGGTTCATTAAGGACAAACCTACGAAACAGGGGGGGGTGTTATTACAACAGCAATGACACGCCACTCACACTAAAACAGCCCTTATCGATGACCATCCACCAAAGCATCAAATACACAAAATAGCTTAATGACGGAATGCGGTAAACTTACCCATAAGGCATCAGGAGAACGTCCAACATGAAATCTAACAGCAAGTGGACCGTCTTTGGCTTCTCAAAAAGGTTGAAAGGAGAGGCACCTTTTGAAGGTTCCGATGGGTATTTCATGTGGAACAAGGTCGGGATCAGCAGATGCATCAAGCTGCATATACGAAAGAGTCACCGGTCACTCAGTGAGCCAACTCCAGTCTCAAAAGTTCTCAATAGACAATACAGAATGAAAATACATACGCTACTCGCTTGACGGTGGTACGACTTACAGTATTTCGGCTTTACGATGGTGTGATAGCGGTGAAGATTTAGCAGTCAACTTTGAATTTTGATCTTTTGCCGGGCTACTGGCAAACCATATGGCAGTATCTAATGAGCATCCACCCTACCATGCTCCGAACTCTGTACCGACCACGAGCGTAAACATATCACACCATGTTTAGCAATGTATCAAACGTCGTTTCGTTTCTGTTTATTTACGATATTAATGTATTTATTTTTAAATTATTGGTATTCAGTTAGTTACAGTATTTATTCATTTACTTATTCAGTGACAGCACTTACTTACTCACTAATTTTTCGTATCATATTCACATTCCACTTACAGTATTTTCCACTTCCGATAAGTTATTCGGAACGTAAGATGAGCAGCACCGGTACTCCATTCGGTAACACTTTATTTGATAGCGCACGAATACTTGTTATTCGTTACTTGTTCATTCAGTGGTTCACAAAGGTTTACAGAATTAACAGACAGTAACAAATAAAAGTACCTGCTTTAGATAAAACATGAGTCATGATTCATTAATGATGAATTAACATGAAATCAGTATGTAACTAAGACTTAGTTTGTGGGTAATTAGTACATAAGTAGTAGCATGATGCTATATGTTTTGCGCCCTGAAGTAATGTGTTACTCCATTCCAGCAGGACAAGTACTCACCAGTCCTGCTGGGGGTGAGGTTTCTCCTCCATGGCGGTGAGCAGGGTGGGGGCCAGTTCGCATTGCTTCGCCACCTCTAGCCGAGGGTAGCCCATTTTGATGTAGATAATGGTGAAGTTCTGCACAGGGACACACACCATTTCTCACTGTTACACCCCGTCAGCCAGCTGCAGGAACCAGGCCGTGGAACGTCCATTCGTAAAATCACAGGGTAACTCGGTCATACAAGGTGCTCAATCCCGAGCATAAATTTAATCAGGGCAAGAATATAATCTAGGAGAGTTTCCTAGCTTAACCATCATTTGACCATTTGTAGAAGGTAGAGTTAACGTCAAAATATTTTTCCATGATACGTTTTTGGAAGAAACAGAACATTTAAGTATAATAACAGGTGTACTTTCATAAGCTGCTTATTTACACATATTTACACTTGGTCCTGGATCGTCTCACTGCTGCAGCCTGTGATGAGACTCTTTCACAGACAGTATTTCAAATAAGATGCACTTTAATGACAGATTTTGCTCCTTGATTTTTATGCAATCTAGGTATAACAGGACCTGGAGTCCTGCAGTGGTTTTATTTCCAATCCTGTGATTAAGTGTAAAGTGTAATTTTTACAACTAATCAAAAACAGCAATTTATATATAAACAAACTGGTTTCTAGCTGAATTCGCTTTTTTTTTTTACACGCCAAAGCACTCCTGATTTTCAATACAATCATAAACGATACATCTAACGATGAATAATATTTAAAACGCATTTAATCTCTCGCACTACAGTTGGGTAGAGAAATTGTTAGGGAACCATATCAGAACTGCATCAGCACGACTGGCACCGAAATACAGAAGCATCTATGCTTAACCACGACGGTACAAGTTATAACGACAAAACGGCGAGCCGACTTACAGTCACGAATGAGGCAGCCGATGGGTCTTGGTACTGCACTAACAGCGTCTCGACCGGCAGCTGAATCTTCGGACGGCTCTTTATACGTTTGTTGAGGTGAACCAACAGCTCCATCACCTACGAGAAGGCGAGACAGTGACATCAGTATCGCTACGCAGAAGAAACGTGTTTAATTAACTGCAGAAAAGTAACAGAGCTTGCAGCAGTCCACTGGGGTGACTTACCTTTTTCCTCACACCCTCTTGCACACTTGACAGCTTGAGCAGAACTGGGGGTAGGAATTTGGATATGATATCCTGCAACTGATCATCTGTTTCTGCGTGACCCAGACGGAGAAAAACCCGCTCCAGCTGATCTGCAAAATGAAGATGCACATTTCCCCCCTGCAGTTATTAATGTTTCTCAACAATTAACCGTATATCAAACTTCACCTTCCGTTGCGCCACGTCTATAACCGCAAAATCAGGATGCAAAAATACACACTGAAAGTAAAACCTCCGACTCCTTAATTATACGCCGCGACAAAAGAGAAATTAAAAGCAACTCAAGTGTCTATTTACGAGCGACTAAGTATATTCGTATTAACAAATCAAACTTTGTGTGGAATCTACAATATACACTAAAACGCGACTGCATTTACTGCTTCTTCCCACGAAACCAACTATACGATATATTTAAAAACCCGAATCAGAAAGGCGGAGGGTGATAAATGGATTATTTTGTTTCTTCAGCTCAGATGCCCCCCAAAATGTTGCATTTAATAATAACAATACCATATCTATGGTGGAGTGGTATGGCCGAGGCAAGGTAATAAATAAAAACATCATGAGGCAGCTATGCAACGCATGCATATTACTGCTAAGTGATTTTCTCACAATATAGTGACAAAATATTTATTAATGTTGAAATATCTGATAATAAATAGCATGAAATCAGCCAGCTGGTTCCCCCTCCAGCAAGCGATCCGTGCGGCCAGACTGTTTTCTAGCTACTTGTATTAAATACCCCGGACTTCTGCTAAGCCAAAGCCCACAAATGGTGGAGGTGACACACAGATCTGTAATGACAAGGCGACAAGAAACATCCAGTCGCGTATCCCTGCCTGTCTGACGGGTATTAGTGCTACGTCGGTGTGAGTTATAAGTGAGACGCTTTCGTTTTCTGATCGTGACTGTGCATTTGGCCTAAGCTAAACGGCGTGCTGCTGATCCTTCACACACAAAGTCCTCCATTCCGCCGGCTTTCTTTCTATCCCCCCCTCTGCGAACATTTTACTGACCATGCATGAGCCGAAGGCTTCAACATTCACTGTGTTAAAACACAAATCGTAGCGTTTGTCCCCTCCGAGAGAGAGAGAGAGGCAGAGCTGGCCGGTGGTAACTTACTGAGTTCATCCTGAGCAGCCATGTTTGCGGCGAATGAGCCGCACTCGGCGAACGCCCAGCCCTGCCCAGCCCAGCCCAGCCCTGCGCGGTGCGAAGCCGTGCAAGCCACTCCTGCCGCCGGCAGCCGAGCAAGGCTCACCCCGCCTCCTCCGGGTTAATGTGCTCCTGCCTAAAGGGGCTGAAGGGAAACGGCGATGGCCCTCGATCGCTCGCTACGAGGATGCCCAATAACAACAACAACAACAACAACAACAACAACAACAACAATAATAATAATAATAGTTCAGGGTTGCCAGTTCTCACGTATCTGATGTGACATTTTCAGACTTATTGCGCTCACGCAAGAAATATTACGGCAAATCTGTGTTATTCCATTATAAACTTAAAATTTGCTACATCGATAGGGCTGGGGTAGCTTGCAAACCATGCAGACTATTTATTTATTTTATTACGTGCTATAGCTGACCACAGTAGGCAACCCTGAATAATAATAATAATAATAATAATAATAAACCAAATTTGATTACCAGACATATCACGCGTGATTTTAACTGTTAAAGTAAATCGAAGCATAATTTGCATGTTTTTATATTAACATTTGGGTTTCTGAGAGATGCGGTGATTTTCTGCATGCATGTAATATTGCACGCCCCAACCGAGTACGACGGACACACACTTATAAAATCAGTCGTGGGAGGAATTTAATAAATAAAGAGTTACCCTATAAATAGTTAGCGATTTCAGTAACTGAATCAGCGAATCTAAGCACGAAGTTATACATTTTGCATTACGATTCACTGTTGGCCATGAGAGAAGTGATTGTGATGAGCTGGTATATGAAAAACTGGGCCCATTTGTCCACTAATGGCAATTTCTTCGTGTATAGCTCTTGCTCCCAATTGAAACCCAAACTTGATAAAACAAGAAAGAGCCAAAGAGGAACCTAAGCCGTTTGTTTTTAATCACTCTGTTTTTGGCCGATGCGCATAAAACAGTGGGTGAAATCTCGGCTCTTTTAGTTTGACAGCCAGGTGGGAACCCGCACGCGCGGCTCGGGGCGGCGGGGGCCCCCGCGCATGCGCAGACCAGGCCGGCGGCCGTAGTCCGGAGCCGAGCAGCTGTCACTGATCGGGGACTTTAAATACGCGCAGGGTATTTAAAAGGCTGAAAAACAGCGGCGCGTCCGCAAAACGCCAAATAACGCAGGTAAAATGCATGTTAATGTACATAATATATGTGTGTCGGTGCTATGGGGCAGCGGTCCGTCTCGGCTTTGGTGAGCTCGCTATCAAAAAGGGCTGTTTATTACCGCTAGCCGTGATGCTAACGGCTAACAGCCGTGAGGCTCCGGGCTGCCGCGAAGCGACCCGCCGCCCTGCGGTCGGACAGCGGACGCGATGCACTCGTGCCGTCTGGGGTCTGCTGGTCCTCCGGCCTTCGCCGCAAAGCTTCCACGCTTGGGTGTCCCGCCTCCGGAGGCCTGCGCCGGCCGTCTTGCCGGGCACCTTCGGCCGCCATCCGAGGCTCGCTGCTGGGGATGAAGGAGGGGGGCCCTAGCTGATCCAGCTCTGTCGTGTCCGTTCCGACGCTGGAGCGGTTAAGGACGGTAACGGTCCGTGTGTCGGGGCGGGCTGGCCGGTGCCGACCCGGTGTCTAAGGCTGTAATGCACGACCGGTGCATGTAGGCGTTAAGGTGTATGGGTGCGTTTCTGAGCCAGGCTGCGTAATGGAGGTGATGGTGTATCACTATTAATAATAATAATAATAATAATAATAATAATAATAATAATAATAATAATAATGATAATCTCTCCACCTGCGCTACATTATCCCTAACAGATGATTATAATACTGATTTTTAATTGTTACTTATTACAGTTAAGTTTCTTAAACTAGCTCCCTGATTATTTTTTATTAACCCGCTAGTTACATTAATAATTAAACGGTTTATTAGTGCAAACCTTATACGCAAATTTGTCACTGGATTCTATCATGTTTTAAACAGGTACTGCTCCCCTTAATTTGTATTTAAATTTTTTCTTTGCGGTAAAAGTAAAATTTCTATACTTCTGGTTTTGCCTCTATCTTAACAATAAAACTGAAACCGCAGAGTGAATTTTGTTTATTTTTATTATTATTTTGTTTTTCTCCTCAGCCACGTAAGGCTGTAGATTGGGGGGGGCATTAAACCTACTTCTAAAGCTGATGTAGTTGTTAGTTCAATATTGTCACAGCGGGTGGGGGGCTGCTGACCGTGAATCAGCAGTATCTATCAGAGCATCTACAACCGCAAAGTGAAACATGGGCTTTTAAATACTCTCTTCTGTGCTTTCAGAAGTGAGACTGGTGAGATGTTTACCTCGTATTTTGAGGGCAAATGTCTTGCGTAGCTCAGAAGTACCTTCTGAGGTAGGAATGTCACTCATTTGGTTTGACATTCTCGGTACATGCATGGTTCTCGGTACAGGCATACTTTCTCCTGGAGCACTGGGATTTTCTGAAATGGGAGCAGAGTCCCGCCTCTGTGGTGATTTCCTGCTGAAATGGTTTGTTTGCCTACATGGGTTGCTTGCACACTGCTGCCCCGACTGATTAGCTCTCAGCATGCAGCTGCAAGTTACCCGTGTGCCGGCATGGAGAACTTTCATTGACTCATGAAAAAGAAGAAAAAACAAAAACACAACCAGTACCATCAGTCAAATGGCATCTTGTACTTTGATGGGAACCTTTTCTCCCTTTCTGGATGCGTAGCAAGTGTTTTTTGTTTGTTTTTCTTTTATTTTCTTCAACCAAGCCATATTCAGCGATGTACTTTAAGTTGTACTCCATAGTTTCATTTGAAAAGCTCATGAAACAGTGTGATATCTATATTTAGACTGCTTTTTAGTGAACGTGAGAACCCTTTAAAAGGGGGCGTCTGCGGACAGTCATTGCTTTCAGCTAATCTGAGTTTGTTGCGCGGACAGATAATGGGTTAGTGAACGGCATTCATCATCAGACGTGTATTTACTAGCAGTACCCACTCGGTAGCTTCCGATCATCTGCGGCTGCTTAAGTGCCCTTTAAAATCTTTGGGGAAGATGGTGGCACAGGAGGTAGTGCTATCGTCCGGCAACTGGAAGGTTGCAGGTTCGAGCCCTGGTTCCTCCTGACCCCATCAAAGTGTCCTTGAGCAAGACACTGAACCCCAAATTGCTCCCGGTGTGCAGGTTGGTGCCTTGCATGGCAGCCTTCGCCACCGGTGTATGAATGTGAGTGTGGATGGGTGAGTGTGAGGCATGTATTGTAAAGCGCTTTGAGTACTCGTAGGAGTAGATAAGCGCTATATAAATGCAGTCCATTTACCACTTTGTGGTAAACCGAGATCACAAATGCTTTGTTTTTGTTTTATTTTTTGTGAATCAACAATCTAGTAAAGCCTAAAATACCCAACGGAAGAAATCAGCATTAGCAGATAACTTGTGTTTCTTTAAAAGATGGTGTCTCTAGCTTGTATTTACTTCATATTGAATTTCCTGTATCCAAAGACTTGGAGTAGAAGCGGTGATATTTAACTCTAGAACTTCCTCCATTGATGTCACCCCGTGGATGTTACAATTGTTTTAAAACATCTTCATTTACAACTACTTATTTATTGGTAATCTGTTGGTCTCTCTTTAGGCCCATGAATACAAATCAGTACAGGTAGCAGGTACCCGTGTAAGTCTGATTATTTTCTTTCCAGTTGAAATACTGGTACCTGTAAATCTACTTCTGTGAAGTCAGTTCTGCCCCTTTATTAATTCTGAAACTGCCGCTTTGCATTGTTATGGAACCACTTCAGGGGTCAAAATTAGATAATTAGATCTAGGTATAAATATATTTTACTAGGTTTGGCCTACATTAATTCATCTTCACTAATGTCTAGTTTTATTTGACCATTATTACTGCTTATCCATTAGTCGGGTGTGACATTTATAATATCTTAAGCCGTTGTTTTAGACTCTTTTTTTGAGACACACTTGCATTGTTTGGGGGGTTACGATGATGTATCCTAGTCAACATCACAGAAGCATCCAGTTAAACGCCTACGAGTTCTTTACAGAAGACTTGTACAAAAATCCAGCCTTAGGAAGTTGACCTGCTGCTACCGTTTGTTCCCCACTCTCCAGGGCTGCTGTTTAATCTTGGCGTTGCTTTGCTCATTTAACTGGAGGCTGGCTGTGATCTCTTGCCTGTGTAAATACCAGACCCTGATACTGAGACTGTTGAGACTTGCTATTGAGGTACCACTCTGACACATTCCTTCTTTAAACAAACAATAGCCGGTGGAAATGAATGAATAAACAAATAAATCTGGAAAAAGCCATATACTTTGGCATTTCACTCCTTGATTTTAAGATAGGATAGTTTAAAATAAAGGATTCCCCCCTCCCCCCCCCACACACACAGACACACACACACAAACACAGCGGCAATGCAAATAAGGATTTTAATGTTATGAGAAAATTCATAAGACAGAAATGGACTGTAGTGTTTTGTGGAAATGTTCTTGTTGGATAAAGACCCTAAGGGGCTTTATATAGATTCAGTGGGTTCTAAGGGAGTTTGTAATGTTTTGCCAAAGAAAATTAAGGTGAAGAAAGCTCCAGATATGGTTGTAGAGCCCAGCTTGAGCTTGTTTTAAATCCCTGCGTGTAGCCCGATCCAGGGCTCTGGCCGTCACCGCGGTGCACGTGTGTGTCCCGTGCGCGTTCCTGAGGTTCCGAAAGACTTCTGGCCCCATGCTGTGCCCGGTCTCGCTGCCGCAATTCAGCGTAAGTGCGATGCCGCAGGTGCTGAACATTTGGGCCTTTAGTGCCCTCTTGTGGATTTAAAAAATACACACATCTGTAAACTGTTACTTGCAAGTAATTTTGTACGTGTAATTTGTGGGGTGGGGGGGGGGATGCATGTTGGGGATTGCGTGCTTGTAATCTCCTGTTATTTTACGTTGAAATACAATATAGAATTTTAAAGTTATCATTTAGTATTGATGAGTTGTCTGAAACATTTAAATAATTTGGCAGGCTGAGTTTTATGGCCAGTAAACCTGTAGCAGTAAAAAGCATTGAGTTATGGTCTGGCGGTGATTCCTGACAGTCCTTTTAATGTTGCCCCACCGGGTCATGAAAATGGGTCAGCATATTTTATTAGCGGTTGGGTAAATATTTTTGATTATTTAATAAAACTGTAGGTATGGTTACGGATTGATTGCTATTTCAGTCCCTTAGACTGTGTGAGAAGTCTATATTGTCGCTACGGGTTATTGTTATTTATTATGTATATTGAGGATTTGTATGGTGTTAAAAAAATGAATTGGTTAGCAGATTTAACAAGTACTTCGATTTATAATGCTTAATAATGGCTGCCTTGGTAGTGTAGCGTGGTTCCTTTTGGGCTATTGGATTTGTTTTTGTTTTTTAGTCATAACTGTACATTACTCTGCCTATGAATCCCTTGTCTTGAGAGGCTCAATTGTTTTTCCTCTGCACCTTGCTGTAGTCTTGAATGGTATTAAGTAGAGATGGGAATGAGTACTTGAGTACCCAGAAGTGCACTTCTATAGTCAAAAATGTGCTCAATGGTAAAATTGGTTGCCCCTGAAGCCTGCCTCTCTCTGCTGTTGAACTCTTTGCCTGACTGTAGCCTTGCCACTGCAGGGCCGCACGTGGGCACCATGGCGGGCACCACGGCGGGCACGGAGGCGGACCCCCCCGCCAACCCCGCCTGCAAGATCATGACCTTCCGGCCAACGGCAGAGGAGTTCAAGGACTTCAACCAGTACCTGGTACACATGGAGTCGCAGGGGGCTCACCGGGCCGGCCTGGCCAAGGTACCGGCTCTGCCAGAACCCGCTCTCATTCTCAATGATGTAATGGCAGCCGGTGACGTAACGGGGCCTTTTATGTGAGAAATGGATTTCAAACAGTGACTAAACTATGCCCCTTTGGGCTTTTGTGTCAGTTTTTCAGTCCAGTCAATTTCCATATCTTTGCGCAATTAGTCATTTATATTCTGGGTTATCATTTAAGCACAACTGTTCAGCAGTGAAAAATACCACTTTAATTTTTCCCCTTTTACTATTATTATTTATTTATTTTTTTTAAATCTAATCTTAAGTAGCCAATTAATCCCGTTTTATAAGTCTGCTTCCAAGCACGGCGCTCGCGTTCTCGGGGTGTGTGAAGCCCGGCACACGTCTCCTCTCCTGTGTCGGCCGTCGCTTAATACAGGCTGTATGCTGCCAGATTCCCCCTCACTGCGCAGGGCCCCCTTACAGACAGTAGGTGTCACTGTAGTGCACGTAAGAAGTGCAATTCTGTGTTTGTCCACTGGGCTGCTCCTACAGGCATCCAGGGCGGCACAGGAGGGAATGTCTGCATTTCTACTTGTATTTGAAATTTGTATCTATTTAAATCAGTACAGCAGATGCAATAAAAGAGAATTCAGTATTTGAGACTTGTGGTTAGAGTAGAAGACCTATATACATGCAGAAAGACTGGGTTTGAAACCCTTGCTCTAAAAAATGCTATCTTTCCATCTTCTAATGCTATTCCTGATCGGGGTCTTGGTTATACTTACTTAAATTAACCCATAAATGATTTTTATTGCCACCTACTGGTAATCATGTGTTACTTCAAATGGATAGTAAGCCATGGCGTTATAACGCCGATCAGAGTAGGATGACTCCGTATCTGAAGGTGCCGCTTCCCGGCAGGTGATTCCACCCAAGGGTTGGAAGCCCAGGCGCAGCTACGACGACATCGACGACCTGGTGATCCAGGCGCCCATCCAGCAGATGGTGGCCGGCCAGTCGGGCCTCTTCACGCAGTACAACATCCAGAAGAAGCCCCTGAGCGTGAAGGAGTTCCGGCGCCTCGCTAACAGTGACAAGTGAGCAGCCAGTCCCCCCTCCCCGGCCCCCCGCCTCACCTCCCCGTCCCCCGGCGCTCCCCCCTGCTCGGCGGTGCTCTGTCTTGTTCTGACATGCTTGACCGTCTTGAAATGCCGCCTCTCGCCTGGACAGATACTGCACGCCCCGGTACCTCAACTACGAGGATCTGGAGAGAAAGTACTGGAAGAACTTGACCTTCGGCTCTCCCATCTACGGGGCAGACGTCAACGGGAGCTTGTACGATAAGGTGAGGCTGCTGACCAAATGCATAGGAGAGTCGTTTGCGTGTGTGTGCTTGTGTGTGGGGGGGCGGCCCTGACAGACAGCCCAGAGTGATCAGCCTATGAGTTTGAAAAGAAATTATACCTTGGGTTTGAGTGTTACCTGCATTCGCCATTTCCCAGCGCTGTTCCGCAGAAGGCACAAGTCTTTGGGGGGGTGTCTCAGTCAGTCTGCTGCTGGCGTATTGAAAAAAGAAAGTGGATTGGGAGGGGGTGTTCTTGGGGTGTCTCACGACTTCCTGGCGGTCACAGTAATGCTGCTGGCAGCCAAGCTTGATGCAGGATGATGGTCAACTGAACTGTCTTAGCTACCAACCCTAAATACACAAGCTCTTTCCTCTAGGAAGTGGAGGAGTGGAACATCGCACACCTCAACTCCATCCTGGACGTCATCGAGGAAGACTGCGGCGTCTCCATTCAGGGCGTGAACACGCCCTACCTCTACTTCGGCATGTGGAAGACCAGCTTCTCCTGGCACACGGAGGATATGGACCTCTACAGCATCAACTACCTGCACTTCGGGGAGCCCAAGTCGTGGTGAGTGCGTGAGGAGGCGCCTGGACCTCCTACTGTCCCGTTGACGCTTAGCATCGATGAAGCTATCAGTCTATCAGAGAGCGATGGGGTCCAGTTACCTCCACGCTCACAGCTTGACGTTTCCTACTCCAGGCTGATAAACCCCTATGGATGCATGAGATTCTCTTGTGTGCGTGATGGTTATTTGAGTCGTTTTGTGGTTTAATCTCTGTTGTGAGAGTAGAATGTACATAATGTACAAATACTTTTAATGCATCTGTCTCTATTTTAGCTATGTTACTCACCTTATTGTAAAGGGTGAAGTAACACACATCAAATATTGAAATGACCAAGAAAAGTGGTCAGCATCTCAATTTCCCCAAATTTTAGTCAATTCGAAACAGCCCCCTTTGGCTTCCATGTCGGCATTGCAGACTCGTCATTCTTTCAACCAGCTTCCAGATGTAGCCACCTGGAACGCTTCTCCAACAGTCCTGAAGGAGTTTCCACAAGTTCGGGCCACAAGTTGGCTACCTTGCTCTTACTCTTCTCCGCGCTCCATATTTTTCCTCGTACATGAGATGACCCTAAGGACACCTTGAGGATATGTAATTAGGGTCATTTTCTTGCTTCAAAACAAATGATATTCAGTGGGCATGTCCAGGCTTTTGACTGCTACTGTATGCGCTCCTGTGTTTTTGCGTGCAGCCTCAACACTGTTGCGTGTTGTACAGTGCGTCTGCAGAAACGCAAAACATTCCTATATTTTGTTGTATTAAGACGTTGAGTAAACAGTTTGCAGTCTTCCTGTTTCTGATCCTCTGTTTCCCATAAGTGCTTTATGTTAAGTGTTCTAGAAGGTGGTAAATTGTCCACTGGGAATATCACCAAGACGTCTGTTATCCGCATGACGGGAAACTGAGGGCGTCTTCGGTATTTACTTCTGTTGCTGCTTCTGAATGTGCATGCAGCTGGCGTTGATTAATATCACAGGAAATACAGCGAACAGCCACTTTCAGTGGTTTTAATGACAGTCGGGGAATATTCTGGGTTCTCTCTCTGACTCGTTTTGGCAAAGAGTGTTGCTGATAGACCAGAGTAGGCTTTGATCTGTGGGCATCAGTAGTTCCACACCAGATAACTCTGAACGTCACTGGCTTTTAAAAATTAGCGATGGTATTTATTTGAATTTGCTCCGGCAAGGAGATATGTGAGCTGTTAGATGGGTGAGTGGAGATGGGATCTTGATTTCAGCTTCAGCTTGGTCTGCTTCTGGATATTGGGTATCGGACGTGGTGCTGGCAGTAAGACCCCACCCTTCTCGAGATCTGTTTCCGGGTAACGCCCTCCACCTCCGAACGCATCCGCGGATTATCCGCAGGGTTGTGAACATGCAGGGAGCCGAATGGTACCCATGCCGGTCAACAGATGGTCTAATCCCACAGCCAATTAGCTGACTAAACAGTGGACAGAGATAGATCCCGTTAATGAAGCAGCCGCTCTTAAGATCCTGAAGGATTTATGGGTGCCCGATTCCCCCGACGGCCCCTCCCTCAGCACAGACGTGAGCTGAAGGTGAACCAGACTTCCCATTCCCGTCCTGTCATGCCAGATCTCTGTGTGGCGCCACCGTGGTCCTGCTGTGGGCCAAGCTGGTGCAGTTTGGCACATCCTCTGCGAAGGGCAGTGCCATCTTTAAGAAATGTCTGCGTTTTATGTGCGTTTTTATTGTTTATTTTGTTTTTGTTTGTTTGTGGAGGCGTGACTGAGCGCCAAGTGATGGACTAGTATCCTGACCATTTACAAGCAATGCATTCTGGGATACAGTCAGCAGTTGTCGCAGACGCTTTAATAGTGTTTCTCAGCCAGTCCTCAGGGACCTTCAGACGGTCCGTGCTCCTGCTCCATACCAGCTCCCAACACACCTGTACCAGCTATTCAGAGTTTGTAATTGGCTGGGAGCCAGGAGGGAGCGAAACCGCAGGCTGCCTGGGGATCCCCGAGGACTGGGCCGAGAACCTGCTGCATTAATGAACAGAACGGGCTGAAACGGAAGCAATGGGTCTGGACACTCTGAGGTTCCTTAATGCAGACTCGTCGCAGCGAAGGCAGCCGGAGCTAATGCCGATTGTCACGTCAAGCAGAGAACGGAAAAGGGGGGGAAGAAATCGCGATGACTAATGGTGGAACATTACGCCGTTAAAGTTAAAGATCGTTCCCATTTGCAGGAGCCTGAGGGCATCCTGAAGGAATCCATTTAAAACGCTTCTCCCAGACAAATGTGCGCAAAGACACGCCTGCATTAATGGCATTATAAGTGAATTTTAGCCCTTGTTTAGTAATGGCGCTAAGTCTCAAAAGCAAGGCATTTCTTAATATTGGACTGTACCGAATTGTCTAATGAGTTTTTATTGTCTTTAATGGATAGGAATCACCATTTCTGTGCTAAGAATGATGGCGAGTCCAAATGGAAATGCAGCTTTCAGCAAGTTTCTCAGCCCTGCTGCATTTCTGTGTCACGGGAAGTTCGTCGTTTTTTTAGAAGTATAATCTAGTTATTTCCTTGTCCCTGTAGTTTGTGACCTTAAATACTTATCCAGTACTCACAAGGTCTTGGGATGCTTGCTTAATTAAGTCAGTGCTGCAGATTTACTGGTTTCATAATGGTCCATAACAAGAAATGTCTAACATCTGTCTTCCACACAGATATTTTTCTTTCTATTAAATGTCGTAATTTTTTTTTTGACTGACTCATTCAGTTCTGTTCTTGCCATTTTGCTATTAATTGCAATGTAGTCATTGGCCCCCATAGGGATACCAAACACAAATGTTTGATTTATGTGATTGCGAAGGTGTTACGAATTAAAAAGCACCCAATGAGACTGCTTGTGAACGAAATTTTTAAATCTGAACAGCTTTTTTAAGATTATAATTTGGGTTTCAGTTTATTACTACTTGAATGTTTTACTTAAAACTACTGGCTGTTTGTAAACACATAAATAACATAATGATTTTTCTTATAAAACTAATAAATTTGCCAAATTTTTCCTTGAATTAAGCAAGCGTCCGAAGACTTTCTGTGAGCACTGCATTTAATGTATTTATGGGGGTTTACCGGTTTGTTTGTTGAATGTTTTTGTCGCAATCGCTTGGTTAAAATGGTGGGCATTTCCCCTCCTTGCCTCTAAGTGGCAGCAGACTCCAGCTTCTCCTTCCTTGGAGCGACATCATCCACCTTCAGGTGTCAGAGTCTCAGCGGGTTCAGTGTATTAGTCAGCCAGGAAGGTATTATCATTCCAGATGAGGTTCCCTGTTGTAAGCACAGTTATGTTCTTTTGTCTTGTGGGTGGGGGCGTGGGGGTCACGTGGCTGAAGGTCTTGTGCTGAACAGGCCGGTCTCTCCTCTGTCATCTTTGTCCTTTTTTTTCTTTTCTTTTTTTTTCTTGGTGGGATGGTGTCCAAAGGAGGGAGAATGATCGCCACCACGGTGCGAATAATTAAACCAAACCGCAGGTGCCCGCTAGATTCGGCATCCGTCTTCCTTAGCACGAGAGGAGGAGCAGTGCCTGTGTTATGGCCGTCTATTCCAGGCGTGCCGTGCTTTGACGATCGTTCGCAGGCAGCTTTAGGGCGCCGTGCGGGGCTGGGGTCGCCCCGGAAGTAACCACTGTCATTAACAGGCAACGAAAAAATGCTCCCCTGTGTTTGGGAATTGAGGTTAAAAAAAAATAGAGGAAAAAACGTGCTTTGTAGCTGATTTTTTAATTTATATGGAGTGTGCAAGTTCCAGTGATGTAAATTCTGTAGTGGTGCTCTCCCCCCACGCCCCCACCCAAACAAAAAGGAAGCTGTCAGTGTTAGCTGACCTGTGAGCCTGGCCTTGGAGTTCTGCTCCATGTCCCTGACTGTCTCTCTGCCTATGTGGTCTCCCCTGGTTTTCCATTTGGTGTCCTCTGTCTGGGGCCCTTCTGGAGAGGGTGGTGTATCTGGGGGGGGGGGCCGCCCCAGCTGTCCCCAGCCTCATTAGAGCCCGTCAGCCTTGCTGTATCTGCCTCCCCAGACAGTCCGTGGCTGTCTCTTCTCTCGGCAGCCTGTCTGGGTGTGGGGGTGGGGAGTGGGATGGCGGGGGTCGGCTGATCGGTCGCTGACATTAGCCCCCCACCCCCGCGACCTTACAGCACCCATCAGCTTCCTTGGCCAGTTTCTCTATGCTGTCATTTCCACGGCTTATTTCTAAGAGATGATTCTCATGAAAAGCGGAATCGGATCTCGGCGCCTTGAATGCGGTGTTTGCTAGTTTGACCGGATCGGCATGGTGTAGATGAGAATGTCCCTAGGGGAACATGGGATGGGAGTGTCAATGATTGAGGTGACTTTTGTATAAGATGCCTGGTCAGGAACTGAGATCGAATTCTAGGTGATGGAGGTGCGTGCTTTTAGTTTTGGTTGGTGTTATTAATTTAATTAATTATGCTTCTTAAAGCTAATATTTAACTCTATTATTATTATTATTATTATTATTATTATTATTATTATTATGCTGTCTATAAACATTATCAGTAGAGGACTTGGGGTGGAGTTTGCACAGTAACACTTTCAGTGTTTTTTTCTTTTTTGACCACTAGAGGTCTCTCTCGTATTTCGTCTCTCCCCACTGTAGACAAGTTGAATGTTGAGATGCGTGTGTGTGTGTGTGTGTGTGTGTGTGTGTGTGTGTATATATGTCTATATGTGTGTGTATATGTATATACGTATATGTATTATATAATCACACGTTACTGACTAACGTATGTATAGTGTGTTCATTGGCTGTTGCATAGTGATATTGCAATGTGGGCAGTATGTTTAATTAAGAGGTTCAAAAAAGTAAAGCACTGTTTTCTGTTGCCCAAGTGCCAGTGACCCTGTTTGTGGCCATGTGACCTGCCACAAGCACAGAAATTCACTTTGATTTCCCTGAGCTGTTGGCCCTGCAGTCCACTTGGTGAAAGTGTGCAAAAGGTCACAACTAGTTGTATCAAATGCAATGTTTCCAGTTCTCATTTCCCAGTACAGAGCTTTCACTCTTGATGTTGGAAACCTAATGACATTTTCTGAAAGCTACATCATGTCAGACTTCCACAAGAAACAAAAATACCGCAGCTCCCGGCTCACAGACTATATTAAATCTCCAGAAAATTGCTGAAAGAAAAATTAATTTAGCCATCAAAGGATTTTAATTCCTGAAACAATGCAAAAGGCAACTTTTTATCCCTAATCTGCAGGCACTGTTAAAGGTCTGAAGGGGAAGTATTTTGACCTTCGTTAATGGTTTTGGAACTGTATGGAAATTTGATTAGCACGCCCTTTTCTGTTTGCGAGTCCGTAGCCTGTGATTTCAGTGTGGAATGGTTCTGTGATGTGCTTTAGAAACCATACACTGTTCCTCCCTGGGACGAATGTCACTGAGACTGAGCTCTGAGGGACGCAATGTGGAACCAGGGGAGTTTCCTGTGTTGGGAACGTGGCGCTCGATTGACGTGGGTTCCTCTCGTCCCCATTCTGCTCATTCGCGGGCGCGTCTGCTCCGAAGAATAACTCCACTCTAGTGTTACCCGAACTTGTGTGCGAAAATGAGGAGTGACAATGACAATGATTACTGGGACTAGGGGCACCTCTGCCTGAGAGGGGTGGGCTGACACAAGTGGGAGTCTTTACTTTGACTGATCACTATCATTATTGTGATAAATAACGGGCGAAACCAAGGAAGCAGCGCCCCTCAAACCTCGAGAGGATGCTGGGATAGCTTC